AGTTCCACGGTTGCCCCTAGCCGGGCCCTAGGCTGGGATGCCGGTCTTCCTTCCTTTGTGCCCCATTCCAGGCCCCCACACTGTTCTCTCTTCCCGTGATTCTAGAACATTCCCCCAAAAGAAGCATTTCTAAAGACCTCTGGTCAGGAAGCTTTACCTGGCCATCAGCCTCCATGGGGCCATCGACTCGGACCCTGAAACTGGGTCTGGCTGGAATTGCCCCCTTTCCCCTTTTAGGAATGTAGGCAGTGGAGATTGAAATTAAGAAATGATAATAAATTGCCCTGGCTGGTGTGGCTTGGTTGGTTGGAGCATCATCCTGCACACCAAAAGGAGGCGGTTCCATTCCCGATCAGGGCACATACCGGGGCTATGGGTTCGATCCCCGGTCAGGATTCATGCGGAAGGCAGCCGATAGATGTTTCTCTCTCCCTTCCTCGCTCTCAAATCAATTAAAAAAACAACAAGAAATTACAATAAATTACGTTGAAAGTTGTTTTCCTCCAAGGCTCCCATTTTCCCCGCTGAGCAGATCAGTGTGGTGTCCTCGGTGGCCTTGCCTGGGGCATGTCCTGGAGGGAGCGCCTCCTGGCCTGGAGGCCCGGGCCTGGGAGTCTGTCACAGGGCACTGCCCACGCTGCCAGGGCTGGGTGGTACCCTATGGTCTCCACCCCGTAGTGAGGCCACATTTGGGGTTTACTCTACCCTGTGAGCACAGATGATTATGTCTCGGCTGCCCCTGGAGAAGCTGACAAGCAAGTAAGCCGACCGCTTCTCTCCCTTCCCCGTCCAGCCCGCAAGATCCCACGTGAAAGGAAGGAGAGGGAAAACTGCCCGTCAGTGCGTGGCCCCTTCCGGGCTGACAGCAGAGAGCTGGGGTGGCCCCCGGGGACCCCCGGCTCTGTGGAACAGAGACATGATCTCAGAGATGGGCGGGTTGTGCTGACGCTGGGTACCCTGGTGAGTAATGAAATCGGGCCAATCTGCTCAGAACCACCTGGCGTCTGTCCTCAGGGGAACACGGGCAGGACAGCTGACCGTGAGATGCCAGGGCAGCTGAGACCCTGTCATCCATGAAAAGGATGGGGTTTGACAAAAGAAACCTGCAGAAATCCCTGAGCTCAGCCCTCCTGGGGGAGAGCTGCTCAACAGGCTTCCACACCCTTCAGGGCCAAGGGCGGCGTCCACGCCTTTGCCAGGATGCAGCACAGTAGGCCTGGCCCCAAACATATTATGCAAATAGTTGACCTGCCAAAGGATGAGTTGAAATGCAAATGCAGAGGGCAGAGGGGCCAGCATTTCCCTAAACCCTGGCCCAGCAGGAAGACTATTCACCTAGCGCAGCAGTGGTCATCCAGGGACAGAGCTTTCTAGTTGCCTGGAGACGCCAAGGCCAGCCCCAGCTCCTCTGCTCCTGCCCGGGTGCCTGCCATCCTGGTACACTCGCCGGAGGGTCACACCTCTGGGTCCCTTCCCTTCTGTGCAACCTCTACAGCTCAGATGGACACGGCCATCCCACTTCCAGAGTGCACTGGGGTGCCAAGCTCTGCTCTGTTGCCTGGCACACATTGGCTCACACCTGGGTCAAATGTTACCTGGTTTAGAGTCGTCTGTGTGCCACTCTTTGATCTTTGTTTCTTCCAGCATCAAATCCCCAAAGAGAGGAAGATGCATATTTTCCCCTTTGTGGAGAGAAGAAAGATATCTGAGTCCCCAATCCCTTACCTCACGGTCTAGCAATGGTACCCCTGCCCTGACAAAGGGCTTGCATATGTATAGATCGATAGAAAGACAGAGATAGAGATACATATACATATGTACACACAGTCTAAGAAAATTATATATTAGAAAGTATGTACTTAAGCAATATTTTAAAAGTCAGACAC